TGTCTTGGTTTTCAGTAATGATCTAACTAAAACCAGTCTGTGTAAATTGTGAACATTTTACAATCTAATGAAAAGCACCATATTAACATTGGGATGTATTAAGGTTTGAGCACGGCCGTTTAAGTTAGGGACAATATATTTCTGTATGTATAAAGGAAAGTTAACTTTGTTAGGCAGTTTGAAGTAAACAACAGAAAAGTGATGGGTCAAACTTATTACAGACTAAGGAAAACTTTTATGACAAATTCTATGTCGAACTTTAAAAGGTACTTTTAAATCAATCCGATGAATTCCATCGAATCTCTACAGAACTATTGAGCAGCATGATTGTCTACTACATTCATTTATCCTCTGTTTGTTAGTTTAGCTGAATACAATAGCATTTTAGTAGATAATCCATCGCCTGTGTAGTGAACAAGAACTCAAGTGGGGACAATCAAAGGTACTTGAAAACGAAATTACGGAGCATCTCACAAAAATCTGAGAACTATATAGTAAGTAGTTAATTTGCCAAGGTGTCAATCTGAAGGGGGTTTTGTGAAGATTTTAGTAATTTAATAGTTGAATTAATGAGCTAAATAAAGCTAGACCACCAAAGAAAATCTAGAAGCACTGGACGGTTGTTTCGTTCTAGCAGTACAGATCTACGACCCACCCCGCGAGATTCGAACCCGGGACCTATTGGTCTTGAGCGTGAACGCTTAACCTCTAGATCATTGGACAGGCATCCAACAGTGTTAATGTCTAACTTCAATCGATCCACGAAATTGTGCCAACAATCTCTTGTCTTCAATGCTAAACTTATTGTAACTAATTGAAAAAAAAGCCAGATTGTTCTTCTATCCTGTGTACATATACTGTTGATGAAAATGTTTGAGATTAGTACTGAAATTCGGTTAGTTTCATGCTAACACATTTGAAGAATCGTTTAGAAAAAAACGAGATTCGACTTGAGTATGCATAAATACATTTCAATAAACATCTTTTGAAAACAAAGCAATAATGAGTCATATATTACTATTAAGCAATTAAGTAATCTTTAGTGCGATACAACTGAAGGACCTAAGTAGCACTTCATCTACAACTTTTTTACTAACTACATTCAATTTTTATTATGTGGACGACCCACGGGTGAACTCAAGGAAGCTCTAGGAAGGTCAGAAAGAGTCAAAAACATTCCATCTAACCGTCTTTAGGAAGAACATTCCAGAATCTTGACGTATAGCTTACCTATTGGATAAATGCTGATAACCTCCTATATGTGGATTAAAAGACTATAATGATGATTTCTTTTTTTCCAAAAACTATAAATACCTGAGAGTTTTGTATCGTATTCGGCATTGTTTTGAAATAACATTTCTTTCATCTGTCGTCTATCTTCTCATTTGCGACATGGAGAGTACTAGCATTCGTGTACTTAAGTTATACGCAGTGCATCATCATCCTCATCTTTTTGATTAAATTTGAATAGAAGCCAATCTTCCAATTTTCTTCAAAAAGAAATCTATACGAAAACAACCGGATATTAAATTCACTTGGTGTTATTGTTTACTTGTATCTTCTGATTGATGTTAAGGACTGCAATTGATCAGTCTCATGTTGGTATATGTGCATCCTGTGCGCATTGACTCAATATCGTCTTAATTCACAAGCATTATAAGCAATGATGGATAGTGGCTAGTAGTGGAAGCCAGGACGCTCGATTCATCCTATTTAGGACTCGTCAGATGAATGTAAATGCATCTGAGAATTGATGCTCACTCTGGGACTCTAACTCAGTGCCATTCGCTTCAAATGCCACCGCATTATCTACTTAGCTACTAATTCCTGACAGCAACTGCTTGAGCAATCGGGTGAAGTTTTAAATTCAATTAGTGTTGTTCTATTTGTATCTTTCCTTTGTTGTTTAACACTGTAATTGGTCAGTCTCTCTCTCTTATTGGCATATGTACATATCAGATACTAGTTTAACGAAAGTTCTTTTTTATTGATTATTGATTGAAAAATCTGATATCGACTATTAGTTGTACATAATAAAACTTTCTTCCAGATGTTTCTGTTCTCATCTACTACTCTGCTACTACTACTAGTAGTAGTACATAGGGATTAAGGTATATGTTTTTCAATTATGTAAGTTTTATTATGATTAGATTTGTTGTTTTAAGTCCAACCTAATGATATTCACCACCCATCGTCTTCAACATCTTCTTCATTATCACCATTATTATCATCTTATAAATATGTAATATATATTCACTGGGAATATTTACAAGAAATTTCTCATAACTTACCAAACATAAGTGGTCATTGTTATATTGATGAATGAGAATTTCCCTCACTCTCTCTCTCTCTCTATCTCTCTTTATTCACTTATGAAATTGATAAATAAATAAAATCAAATACAATGAATGAAGTAGCTCATTTAAAAAGTAGAACTCTTTTCTCACAAACAATAGATTATTGTAACATTTCAGAAGGGTTGTGCGTGTGTGTGTGTGTGGATATTATAGTAATTTTAATAGTTGAGATGATGAGTCAATTGAAATTAGGCCAACATAAAAAACCTGAAAGCACTGGATGACCGTTTCGTTCTTGTATGGGACTTCTTAGCAGTGCGCACCCACGACCGCACACATGGGAATCGTGAATTCAAATGTTAAAATATTACAACCCTCATAAATCCTCATACAGATAAAAACTATGTACTTACTAAAGACTAGCTTCAAGATGAATTCCTTGGAGTTCGAGCTAGAAACTGTGACCAATGGAGTGAAATCCGTATCGCGTGGAGACAGTTATTCAACTGGGCCAAGATCATTAATTGATTGAAGTTTGACATCAACACTAATGAATGTCAGCTTAGTGATCTAAAGGTTAGGCATTCGTGAGCGAGCCTGAATATTTTGTGTTCAGGTCTTACGTATGCAGTGGCGTACTAGAACGAAACGGTCATCTCGTGATTTCAGGTTTTCAATTGTAGTCTAGCATAGATTGACTCATGAATTCAACTGTCGAAATGTTTTTCTTGTTTACATTTAGATCACAATCCGACACAAAATTATCTAACCTTATATTAACAAGCTTAACTTTTTCATTAAGCTTCATTTCATGCCGCAGCTCTTCATCTAAGACATCATCAATATTTTTAAAGTGAATATCTCTCAAAGTTGTTAAAATTACAGGTTGACATTAATTCAAGTAAAATGCCAACAGTCAGCTTTTCTCTCATGTCGATTGTATGAAAAAAAACTTGCGGAATTAAACTTTTGGAGAATAATATTAGTTACTCAATCAATTTGTTAATTAAAGTCATTCCATCTTAGTCTAATTATCTGGTCTATTGGTTAAGTGTTCGCGCGCAAGACCAGTAGGTCCTGGGTTAGAGTCTCGCGAGGCGGGATCGTGGATGTGCACTGATGAGAAGTCCCACAAATGGACGAAATGGCCGTCTAGTGCTTCCAGGTTTTCTTTAATGGTCTAGCTTCAATTGAATCACGATCTCAACCATTGAAATACCTGGTTAATACTTGGTAGTTTATAAAGGATATAAATGAAGCCTACGTCAAATAGGGTTTTCTGAAAATTCTCTACCATCACAAACTAACATCGAACTATAACGTTGATGACGTTAGTTGACTTAGAATAGTGGCCATATTGCTCAAATTGTTCAACAACATACGATCACTACTGAATGACTAGACAAATATAACATTTATTAAATAGAACCAATTAACAAGACACTTTAGACTATAGCAACTCACCTACAATCAATTTTGATAAGGGTTAAAATTTGTTAAGTCCTTTGTTATTCGAACGGTAACAATTCGTCTATTTCTTTGTACTATTATGATCACTATCATGTCTATATAAACGTATACACTTGATCTTATGTGGTAGCCTACTCATATATATATCTCTAGCTTAAATGTTGATCGCTTAAATATAGCTTGGTGAGTGATTCTTCTTCTCATATATGTATTCACTTGAATCCTATTAATAGCAATTGCATTGCTTTGCTTAGCCTTTGCCGTTGATTCGATTTGACTATAAATTCACCTCGGTAGTTTCTCGCACACAGACATTAATCTCTCTGTTCCAATTCACTCAATGTGCTTGTAACTTTTTTTATCCGAGCTATCCGTAAACAAACTGTAGTCTTTGCTTCTTATTGCCTTCTGAATTCAAACACTGTTGAAATTTATATAATAACGGTTATCAAGGTGATTGACTAATGAAACTATGCCACTACAAAGTCAAATATTTATTTTCGTTAGTTATCTCTAACCTACTAAAACTGATTTGTGTTTAGGATCTAAGTAATAACAACCTATTATTAACGAGAGGTATAAAACTTTGATAGAACGGAGGATTTTCTAAGGTAGTTTGGTAATATAAAGTTCACGTTTGAATCACTGAATTACCAAAGTTCCTGGAATGTACAAAACTTTGTTTAACAATCCGTTTCAACTAATTTCATTGTAACCATGTTTGTAACTGTGAAACATGGTTCTGATGTAAAAACAAAATTGATTAGAATTAATAAAGTGTTCCAAAAATTGAATTGTCAGTTAAATTTGATTTTTGTTTTAACAATAAGCAAAGGTAATTCTTCACATCTATTTGATATTTCCAGTTTCTTGACTTGAAAAATCGATGCGGACCTCTTAGTTACTAAATTAATGGTTGGGCTGTTTGTCAGAAGGGTTATCAGCTTGGTGAATTCCGAAGGAAGTCGGCTTCCATCATTTACCTCATCATTTACCCGGGCTTGAAATCGGCAATAGTCCCAATGGGGTCCCAGGCGGAGTAGCAGCTAAGTAAGTAACGTGATGGCGATTGAAGCAAATGGTTCCGAGTTCCAGTCCCAGAGCGAACATTAACTCTGAGATGCAGATACTTCCATCTAACGAGTTCCACATAGGACGAAACTCGCATCCTGGTTTCCACTGCTTACTTACTTTATATTTTATTTGTTTTCTTATTTTAGACGGCTGATATATATGTTAAACAAGCCTTATTTGACTTCAAAATCTAACAATTATTATTCCTCTAAGATGTTGGCTACTAATGATGTCATTAAATCTCAGTATGATAAACAATCTATTAATTCATGGCTTCCGTTGCCACATCCATGTGTATTCACATCGAATTGGTCATCTCTTCATTTTGATTTAATTAAAAATTATCCATTATCTTGTTTACATTCAAAACATACATCTGAGTCAAATTCCACATTAACACTAAAAGAATCCTGTTTCAATGTTCATAAACTAGGATCTATGTCAAATGAATCAACCTTAAACAATGATCATTATATAGAAGTGAATGAAGATTGTGAAACAGATTCAAATATGATTCAAAATGAAAACAGTACAGTGAGTTGCTTCTATGATATTAGTAATATAACCTCATCAACTGATGAGGTGAGTAGTTTAAATCATACAGTATATGAGAAATTGTTTGATTATGTTAGTATCACCACTTAATTTAGTGTTGAAAATCAAAGAATTTGTATTGTGAATAACAAATTACATTTGAATTCCTTGTTTATAACTTTATAATCAATATGTTCCAAAGAAATTTATGGATAGAAGATCATGATTTTCTTGGTATTCATTCATTCATTACTTCCTTACGCCTGTTACTCCTCGTGAAGAAGCATAGGCTGCCCACCACCAATCTCCATCCAACCATGTCCTGGGCAATCCCTTCATCCTCTTTCCAGTTGTTATTCATCCTTTTCATATCTGCTTTTATTTCCCGACGTAATGTGTTCTTAGGCCTACCACTTTTCCACTTCCTTTCAAGATTCCAAGTTAGGGCTTGCCTTCTGATGCAGTTTGATGGTTTGCGTAATGCATGTCTTATCCATTTCCATCGTCTTTTCCTATATTCCTCTTCAGTTAGAAGCTGGCTAGCTCTCTCACTCAGAAGGCTGTTGCTAATGGTATCTTGCCAATGAATTTTGAGTATCTTGCCTAAAGAACTATTTATAAATACTTATACTTTCTTGATGTTGGTTGTGGTAGTTCTCCAAGTTTCAGCTCTGGATAGTAGAACTGTCTCGACGTTCGTATTGACGATTTTGACTTTGATATTGGTTGAAAGTTGTTTTGAGTTCCAGTTGTTCTTCAGTTGTAAGAATGCGGCATTTGCTTTGCTCATCCTCGTCTTTACATTGGCATTTGATCTTCTTTGTTTATCGATGATGCATCACACGTATGTGAAGGATTCTACGTCTTCCAGAGTTTCGCCATCAAGTGTGATTGGATTGGTGTTCTCCATGTTTTATTTAAGGACCCTGGTTTTCCCCTTGTGTATGTCGAGTCCTACTGATGAAGAGACTGTTGCTGCTACAGGAGTTGTCTTCATTTGCATTTGTTGGTGTGTATGGGTTAGGAGGATTAGGTCATCTGCGAAGTCCAAATCGTCTAATTGGTTCTGAGCTATCCATTGTATTTCATGTTTTCCCTCAGATGTGGAGGTCTTTATAATCCAGTCGACTACCAGAAGAAAGAGGAAGAGGGAGAGTGGACAGCCTTGTCTGACTCCGGTCCTTACTTGGAATGGATCTGTCAGCTGTGCTCCATGCACGACTTTGTAGTATAGTCCATCGCATGAGTTCCTTATAATCTTGACAATCTTCTCAGGAACTCTATAGCGGCGAAGAAGTTTTCATAATGTTCTCCGATCTATACTGTCAAACACCTTTTAATAAACAATGAAGTTGATTTACAGTGACGAGTTCTACTCAACTGATTGTTCGACATGATCCGTAGTGTTACAATTCGGTCTGTGCACGATTGATCCTTACGGAATTCAGCCAATGAATGCCTACTCCACTTGAAATAAGCTATTTTCTTCAATCAATTATCTTCTTAGATAGTTATGGATTTCTTAAAAGTTTATCGTTAGTGTGAGTGAAAATTAAATTTCTAGTTATTGTTCCAACGGTTGGTTAATCTCCATCATCAAAACAAGTTAAATATATATTAACTTTATAGGTTTTAAGGATTCAATTTATTTCAAAACGATACAGTGAATGGTAAATAGAATCATTTGAATATTTATTCAAAAGATCGAACAACTTGAATAGTTAAATTCATGAATCCTGGGACTACTATTTGATTATGATCATTGTATGATCATTAATGACTGGCTTCAAGAGGTATTTCCTAGAGTTCTAGTGAAAAACCGTGACCAGTGAAATTCAACCGGGTCTGTTGTAAGATAGTAACTCATTGAAGACAATAGTGGATGTATTGCTGAATTTCGTGGATTAGTTAAAGTTAGACATTTACACCACTGAATACCGGCCGACTCAATGGTCTAGAGGTGAAATGTTCGTGTGCGAGACTGAAAGGTCCTGTGTTCTAATCCATATCGTGGATGCGCATTGTTGAAGAGTCCCTCAATAGGACAAAACTCCTATCCAATGCTTCCAGGTTTTCCATGTTAGTCTAGCTTCAACTGACTCGTGATCTGTATAACATTCTCACAACTCCTCTATGATTACAATTTTTTTCTTTTTCCAATATAGAATGAACAACTTAATGAAGAATATGAAACTCTACCAGAAGTAAAGAAACCAATGTAAGTAAAAACAAACTAATTCATATTATCAGATTTGTTTTGTTTCAATTAAATTAGATTAGTCATAACAGAATTGAGTAATTGATAGAATGAATAACTGACAATGAATGAAATATTAATTTAATTGGTTTAAGTTATCTTCTTGGCCAATAGTTTGATTGAAGTTTGATCAGTCTTAGTTTGTATATGGGTATCCTTTATAGATTGCCTCTATATAGCCATTATTACACAAGTTTATATGGAATGGATGGAATATAGTTAGAAGTGAAGTTCAAAACATACATTTTATCCTATTTTTAATTGGTTAGAGAAGATGTATATGTATTTTGGTGGCGTTTTGTTCTCTGAGCTGGATGGTTTGGTCGTGGAGCTTTCATCGTTCTTCTGAACGACATCATCAGCACAAACTTCAAATAGAAGTGAAGTGTTCGAACTCTTCACTTCTATTTGAAGTTTGTGCTGATGATGTCGTTCAGAAGAACGATGAAAGCTCCACGATCAAACCATCCAGCTCAGAGAACAAAACGCCACCAAAATCATCCACCTGAGCTACAAATCTTCTCCACCATCTCATGTATATGTATCCCAGAGTGGATGTTCACTTGAGGACTCAAACCCAGTACGTCAACTCTAGTTTGAAGGTATATTTATCTGACAAATCTCAAATAAGACAAAATGAATCTCCTGTATTCCATTACTAACCACCATTAATCTTTGCTTATACTTCTTGTGACTTGAGCCAATATAGAGGCAGTTCGTACAGGACGCACATATGCCATTAAGAGACTGATCGATTTCAGTCCTAAACATCAATAAGAAAATTCAAGTAAAACAATACCAAGGGAATTTGAACTTCATCTCATTGCATAAGCAAGTGGCTATCAGGACTCAGTAACTATGTGAATTACATAATAGTGTTTCGAAGTGAAAATGGTACTGCATTCGAGTCCCGGAATGAATATCAACTATGCAAATCAGGTACATTCAGTTACCAAATGAAATAACTAACATCAACTCTGAGATGAAGATACATCCATCTGACGAGTCACGAATAGGATGACACGTGCGTCCAGAATTCCATTGTGACTTGAGTTAATCCTCGCAATATGCACATATGCCAATAAGAGAGAGAGAGACTGATGATTTTTGGTTGTAAAAAAGTGAATTTAACCTTCAAGCTATGGCACAATTAAGTACCTATTAGGGCTCAGTATCTAAGTCATGTTTGAACCCGATTGTTACTGGGGTTCGAGTCCGACAGTGAACATCAATTCCGTGATTCAGTTTCTTCATTTTTCATTTTACTTTTCTCTTCTTTTCTCTTATATACATATAGATTATCAACTAATAAAAGTATAACTAATAATTATATAACAATTAAAAAATTTACAATTCGTGAAACAACAAATTTATTAAAAACATGGTTAAATAATCATCGTCATAATCCATATCCAACAAAAAATGAAAAAATTAAATTATCTATTATAACTAATTTAAGTTTAACACAAATTTCAACATGGTTTGCTAATGCTAGAAGAAGATTAAAAAAAGATAATCAAATGACATGGATACCAAAAATACGTCATCATAGGATAGTAACTAATACTAATAATAAGATACAAATTTGTCAAAAACAGGGTGGTGGTGGTGGTGGTGATAATAATAATAATCAGATTAATATGGATCAATTATCACAAACGAAATCTCAATTAAAATCACCAATAATAAGAGATTGTTTAATTAATCCATTCAATACTAATCATCATCATCATCATCATTCTCCTCATTTGACATCATTCAAAAATCAATTAATTTTGAAATATTTTTTAAATAAAACGACCCAGCAACAAGGACAAGACGAAGAAGAGCAACAACAACAACAGCAACAACAAGAACTACCATCACCACAACAAGAATGTCTACAAATCAAAGAGAAATTCAATAATAATAATAATGATCAGATCAATTTATCTAATGAGAATTCTATAATCAATAATGATCATCATAACAATGATTATCATTTATGGTATAATGATTATCATACTAAATTAATCCATATAATCAATCAATTAAATTGTGAAAATATGGATCAATATCCATTATTATATGGATCATTATCTAAATTAATTACAAATACTACTACTACTACTACTAATGATAATAATAGAATCATAAGAGATGATCAAACATCACAATTATGTAATCGTTCATCAAAAATATGGTCAGTTGCTGATGTCATCGATGTATAATTAAATTATAGAAGAGTATTGATGAAATGAATAATGTTCTCTTTATCCTTTTTTTTTGTTTTTTTTTGTTTTTGTATCTGGGACAATTTGATTACGTAATGTGTTTGTTAAGATTATTATTATTATTATTATTATTATTATTATTATTATTATTATTATTATTCATAATAATTACATATATATCTATTATCAGAATGGGTTTTGTGGAGAGTTTTAGAAATTTCGCAGACTGAAATCATGAGTCATTTGAAGATAGACCAACATGGAAAACCTGAAAGCACTGGATAGCCGTTTCATCCTAGTATGGAACTACTCAGCAGTGCGCATCCACGTTACCAGTGGAGTTCAACCAGGTCTGTTGTGAGATATCATCTCACTAAAGACGATGGTATACGGTGGAGCAACTTTGTGGATTAGTTGAAGTTAGAAATTAATACCATTGGATGCCGGCCAGCTCAGTGGTCTAGTTGGCTAAGCGCTTAGCGCGAGACTGATAATTCCTGCGTTCGAATCTCGTGGGATGTGGGATCGTGGATGCTTACTGCTGAGGAGTTCCATACTAGATCGAAACGGCCGTCCAGTGCTTCCAGGTGTTCCATGGTGGTCTATCTTCAATTGACTCATGATTTCAATCTGTGAGATATATATCTATTGTAATCATGCAAATGATAAACATATTGTCAATTACATTACATTTTATTAATGATTCAATCTAGACAATGTAGTGTTACCTAATCAAATTGATTAGTGATTATGATTTGATATTTACTTTCATTAATGATGGATGAAATATTTGTTGAAGAATGGTAAAAAAGAAACTCTGATGATGATAAAACAACAACAACAACAATAACAACTTACAATTGTAACTATGTGATTAGATTGTATATTTGTATGGTTTAAGTAAAATATGTTCCTGTTTAGTTGTACAAGGAAGGTAGTTAGAAGTTCTATACTTGAATATCTTACTTACTTACTTATGCCTGTTACTCCCAATGGAGTATAGACCACCAATTAGCATTCTCTAACCCTTTATGTCCTTAGCCTTCTTTTCAAGTTCTATCCAATTTTTGTTCATTCTTCATACATCTGTCTCCATTTCTTGGCGTAATGTATTCTAATCGACTGTAAACATTTTACAGATTGATTTGTTTAAATCCAACTTGTAAAAATAAACGAAGCTCTTACCATCTATGAGATCAAGCCAAAAAGATGCGTATAATATAAGTATGTCCTATCATTATCATTCATTTGACCTTAATTATTATTACTGCATTTTCCCCTTTGACTTATATAACATATTCTCATGATTTTATTCATCATTACTCATAATATTACTTTATTCAATTTTATACACCACTATGACCTTTAATGACCTTGAATGGCCTTGAATAACCTTGAATGATTGTAACAAAAAACATTTAAATCATTTTATTACATTTACGTTCTCATTCGTTACTAACTTATTAATTCTATAGGTTATTATTCGTATTACATAATCTATTATTATAATCTTTCTATTACATCATCTTGATTATTCCTTGTTTATATTTCCTCACGGTAAAAGTACTTTCACTAAATATGTTCACATATATATGTATCGATACAATTGTACAGCTTGATAATAAATTCAATGAAAATAGATCCCTTTCACTGAACTTGATGTTTTTATATTCCATATGAGATATTGTTACAGAGTTGTAGTCAGTTCATCTAATATCTCCAAACAATAAGATGGTGGTCAAAGGTAGTCGACAGGAAACCCTAAACTTACCTCCAATTATCATCATATTTCAACATAATACATACAATGTCAAGTCATTAAGACTGGTGGCCACATTGCAATGTGATCGATAAGATTCGATCTACACTAAGAAGAACCTAACATACATGAGAATGATCATCAGATAGTGATTAATCAATTGTAAATCTCCAAATATTATTCATAGTTATCACATAGAAAATTTTAATGTTTTATTGTAACTCTTTATATAATCAATCTGGTGCGAAGCAGTGACCAATGGAGTTCAACCAGGTCTGCTATGAAATAGTAACTCATTGAAGACAACGGTGGATATATCACTGAATTCCGTGGATTAGTTAAAGTTAGACATTAACAGCATTGGATACCGGTCGACTCAATGGTTTAAAGATTAAGCGTTCGAGACCGATAGGTTTTGGGTTTGAATCTCGCGAGGTGGAGTTGTGGATGGATGAGTGAATTTCGTGCCAAAATCCAAGACATTTTCACCTGTACGTGATTGGTTCGTCTATAAATTATGATCTCACCGTTGAAATGTAATAACTGCAATATTTATAGACAATTTGTCTTTGTCTGTGCAAATTATATAATTCCAAATTACACTGTATTACTTTTTTTGACAGGAGTTTTACATATAAAGTTACTTATTATGTTCTCAAATCTAAAGATAGTGAATTGGAATATTTCTATTATGATAAGTGAACGTGTGTGGTGTGTGCTACTTATATCAATATGAGTAGTATATAACGTTAGCCAGGATTAGAATGTCTGTCAGCAGAAGCTCAAGAAGATCGGGAACATAAAGTAAATGGTATGGAAATGCAGGAATACTGAATTCTGAGACAACTGACTAACATTTTGCAAATGAAATATTTACTGTATGGTTCTCAGATTTTACTAAGTGATTCTTTAATTTTGTATTCAATTACATTTGGTCGTCCCCATTCACAAGTAGAATTACGTAATTTAGGTATAGGGTTTGATATTAAGTAAGAACACTAACACTAGGAACCATGTACATGCAACTGACTAGTCACAGGCAGTGCCAGATTGTATTACTAACTACAGTTATCAAAATGTTAAATTAAAATTGGTTGAGACCGTGAATTGATTGATGTCAGACCACTACTGAAAACCTGGATGCGCATAGTTGAGGAGTCCCACGATGGGACGAAACGGCCATCCACTGCTTCTAAGTTTTCAATGGTGCTCTAACATCAATTGGTTCATGATCTCAATCAATAACTTAATAATATCCACAGCCATATACTGAAAATTACAAGTGACTTCTGAAGGATACAATATAATTCAATAATATTTGCGTTTAGTTTTCTATCATTTAGTTGCATCTCTAAATCTTCCCTTACATTCTGTAGTCCAATTCAGTCAGTGTAACATTTTCATAGTTGTTTCAGCTCATATATGAAGATAAAGAATATAATGACAGCAACAAGTTTCAAGTTAAAATCTAAACGCTCATGCTTAAAACCAATATTTCGGGCTGGACTATCTCAGCAAGAAGGATACAAAGGTGATGCCATAACTTAGTGAATAATTGGTCTAATCAGAATAACTCCTTCATATTTGCATCCGAGCTATCATGAGGCTTAGAGATATTGTGCGAACTGTTTGGCTTTACTTTGAATATTATCTCGCTTTATTAAAAAGAATGTATTTCTCATTAGATTCAACTTTATTAATTGAAGTATAAACACATGGTTCTTCTTATAACTAATTAGGTAGTATGAAATTCTGTTTCATTATACATGAAATGGGGCCAGTGGAATGTAACTAAGCCCTAGGCAAGTCATCCGGCAATTGGGTCACCGAATATCGAACAGATCATCGATCTCTGTCGAAGTAAAGGACAACCAATGCGCATCAGTTAATCGTATGCTATAGACTGGTTCATGAGCTGGTGGTTTCAATATCTTCTCTGTTCTCATTCTTATTAATATATTTTCTTAATGATGTCCTTTGTGTTATACGGTGTTTAAAGCAGCCATAGTACTTTGATATGTCAAAGAGGGTAATCCACATTAGTTACTGACCGCAAGGTGTGACTTCGAAGTTAACTGAATCGTCACACCATTCTTGTCTAGCTCTAGTAGATCTCCAATCACTTGACATAGATCATCTAAATTGATGATCTACAATGAAGCTCACATTTCAGCTCATAAATATTAGTGATATTTGACTATTTAAATATCTTGGTATCGTACTATTCATGCAAGAAACATTGTCCAGTGTCATAGAAGTGGAAAGTTTTCATAACAAACCTTGAACTATTTAATATCATTGACAGATTTTTTCTCAACATACATCATAATGTATGAGGTATTAGTGAGTTGATTGACTTACTGAATACACTTCAAATTTATGTTTAGTAAAGAAGAAGAAGAAGAATCAGTAGTAATAATAATGGTTAACTCTTTTCTCCTTATTTTGTATCCTACTTAACAGAATGAAAATTCTAGCACTTATATTTAGGGAAGTATTGTTCAGTGTGTCTAAATTTCATTCAATTGTCTTTATTGGAAAAGACCTGTCGCTTATAGTTTAGTTGAATTCGAATTTTATATCGAGATTTCTAAAGATCATCATCAGGGAAAGTATGGAATACGATGAACAACTTGGATGCAGATAGATGATTTTGATTTTGTAGATGACATAACTTTTTTTTATCCCATACACATCAGCAAATGCAGATGAAGATAGACAGTATAACAGTAGCATCTGCACTAGTGTGGTGTGTGCTACTGATGTCGACAGGTATAAGTAGTAGGTATCATTAATCTACCTAGCGGCAGAAGGTTAATAAGATCGATGAAAAGAGGGCGAAAACAACGGATGATTGGTGTGGAAACGAAAGAACAATGAAGTCTGAGATGAACGAGTGACATCTTGCAAAAGAATAGTCATATTTAAGACAATTGTTTGACATTTTGGTAATGAAGTTTTTACTATATGGTTCTCAGATTTTACTAAGATGCTCAGTAATTTTGTGTTCACATACGTTCGATTGTCCCCACTTGTGTTCGCGTTCACTATAGCAGTGGACTTCTAAATACACAAGGGAAAAAGCAAGATTTTCAAATACAACACAGATCGTACAAGCACAATCACACTTGATAGAGAACCTTTGGAAGAGGTAGAAACGTTGAAATATCTAGGCAGCATCATCGTTGAACTAGGAGGATCTGATGCAGACGTAAAGGCAATGACTGGCAAAGCAATA